ACATCGAGAGCAAGAACATATGTATCTCCTACGAACCTGGTACATACGAGGTAGAGTGCAGTTGACACGGTCAATTCCATACTTAACCTGCAATAGAAACATTCCGGATGAATTGCATCCTCCATGTTGCCACATAATATATCATGCTTTTGTATAACCAGAAACATAAGCAATTAATGTTTCCGTTTTTTGATTGCCAATAGATATAGAAGTTCTTGGAGCCACCAGGTAGTAATCAAGCAGGCATCCAAATATATACATAACACACTACAACTAAGCATGCAGGATTTAGAAGTTAATATCTGTGCTTTCTGAAGTGCAAACTTAAAATCGTGTTACCACTAGACTACAGCAGAAAGGAAAGCTTACTTGGGTACAATAGCCACTAAACTCTTGCCCCAGAGTCAAAGGAGTTGCATCTTGAGTGTGAGTTCGTCCAATTTTGACAATATCCTTAAATTCGATGGACTGTCAAGGCAAAAAAAGAAAATGATCTAATTGATTTTGATAGAGGTAGACATTGCAAATGACAAAATCATGCGCTAGCATCGTCTTAAAAAAATGAAGTCTTTAGAGAAAACAGGCGCAAGCACAATTGGCAAAACACACAAATAGTCCAATCCACATGCACAAATGTGCATGTGTGAACAAACAAAAGTGCAATGGATGAGTGCGTGCAGAATCTTTCAGCATAGTCACATTGATTAGAAAATCCATTTAAGGAAGAAACAACACAACCTTAAGAAAGCTCAGTGTCATTGCACATAAACAAGCACTAAATGACAGATGAGCCCAAACATTGAACTCGTGAAACTCGTCCTATGGGTATACCCCATGTTGCTTAGGATAATGAATATAGATAGCAAGAACCATTTACAAAAAAACTAAGATTATTCACAATGTGAGATAGTGCATATGGACCCCTCCTCACACAATCTTATGTATGAGCATAACTTGGAAATTCTTTAAAAAAAATGGCATCAACAATCTGAAAGAGACAAAATAATGGTATTAAGTAAAATAAGCAGAACGATAAAGTTTACTTGAAGAGTGAAGGTGTCATGTTCAAAAAGGCCAAAATAATGTTGAATGGTGAAACATCCAGGGCTGAAAGAAAGAAAGCTGCATTATCCTAAAGTATTCCTTCGAAGCAAAGATAGCAAATGATGTAAACACAAAGGGAGCACTTCAACAATCATGATAAAATTGGTTTAGGTCTTAACAATTATCACACCTTTGAATGAAGAGACGTGTGCAAGTTCCCAAGACTTGGCAATAATCTTGACTTTATTTCCATTGCAGCCGCAATATGCATCACCTACAATATGAGAAATAAAATATCGCATTTGTTTAACAACTAATTCTATAGTTCTTTATTCTCCTATAAATGATATAGAGTTCACATCAATACATGCCCCGGATCAGATCCCTTTTAGGCTTAAAAAAATGGAAGAAAATGGTCATAGATGACAATTTGCATCAAGTGACAGAGGTAATTCAGGTGATGAAGAAAACAAAGCTTACAGTTGGGAAAGTGTCATTGGAAGATTGAGATCGGTTCACATGATCATTTGGGTGCACAAACTTGTCTCCACGCTTATGGCCAAGAATTTCAGCTGCTCTGTTTGCAATCACCTACAATAGCCCATAAAACTAAATCATTAGAAAAAGAAATCATCTAGCAATTACCATGATCCTGCTTCCACAGTCACATGAAATAACAAATCAAACCGCCCTTATCCCCCTTCCCAAAAAAGAAAACTCCAAATCTCTCACTTGGGAGTTACGTAAGGATCGTCGCGAGACCGTGATCCTCATGTCCAAAATGGAAGAAAATTAGCAACAAAGCATCAGTGGCAATCCGCATGGGCATTAGCATATTGTACCGAAAAGCACAAGGCCTCAGAAGCCTCGTTGTATACGCATAACTGCACTCACCTCATTGGCATTCATGTTACTCTGAGTGCCACTGCCAGTCTGCCATATGACAAGGGGAAAATGATCATTCAATTTTCCCTCAGCTACTTCTTGAGCTGCTTGCATTATGGCTTTCCCTATGGAAGGATTGAGACCGTATTCCATGTTAACCTGAGAATTACAGCATCGACACAATCAACTACCTTCTAAAATGTGTTTTTGAAGTAAATATGGCCTACAATGCTGATGACAATTAGATAGGCGCGCGGAGTTTGAATAATACATGCTGCTTCATAAATGCTTCAAGTGATTTTCCCGGATAATACTGCTTCAAAGTTCAAAACATTAATTATTAGATATGAGAATGCCATTTCCTTTCCTGTGATTACATCTAATTCTTCAAAGTGTAGGATTACTTAGAAGATAAACTAATAGAGAGCTTCAAAACACTCCAACCCATACCTTGGTAATAGGATTTGAAGTTAGAGAAGACTAAATGTAATCAATACTAGGGTGGGAGAGGAGAAAAGGGTAAGCTAAAGTGTAACCATTTGGTTCACTAGCATCCTAACGGTATGACAGTATCGGTACAAAACAGAAACAGGTCCTAAAATGACAAGTCCATTTGCATAACTCAACGATGCAAGCAATCCCGAAACGAATCCACCAGAAAGCCAGAAAAGGGATATCAGTTCGAAGAAAACGAACCTTGGCAGCACACTTCTTTAGCACGCCGAAAGCTCGAACGATCGGCTCGGGCATCCGCTCCCGCTCGCCTCCGATGTCGAAATTCTGCAGCGACCTTTGCGTCTGCGCTCCCCACAACCTAACGCAAAAAAAAAAAAAAAATCAAAAACAGCCATCAATTTTCCAAGCGCTCAAAAGAAGCAGCCGCCAGGCGGAAGACGCCCCCGCCTCACCGATTCCTCGCGACTTCCGACAATGGGTCCAAGCAAGACATCATCGCAGCATCGTCGAGAGTCAACGAGGATTAGCCGAGACAAAAAGAGGGGGGGGGGGGCGGCGGAAAGGGAAAGAGGGGACGAACTTGTCCGAGGGGACGAGGATGGGTCCAAAGGTGTCCCTTTCCTCCCGGAAGGCCGTCGAGTACGATCTCCAGCAAGCCGCGTAGCGCAGAGCACCCGCGAGCTGCGGCGGCGGCCCCGATCCTCCGCCGGAGGAGAGGCGCCTGGACAGGACGTGAGCCGCCATCTCTGCTGCCTCCTCGGCCTCGCAATCTGTCGCCGATGAGCATCGCGCATCGGCGGCGCACGACATGCTCGTGTGAGATATCCATATGAGGGATGAGAGATGAGACAGAGAGAGAGAGAGAAGAGAGAGAGAACCTGGTGTGGGGCGGGTCGAAGTCGAAGCTTTTTGCCGGAAGACGGGAAGAGGATGGAGAAGCGAAGGAAGAAGAAGCAGAAGGGAGGCGAAGCAGAGGCGAGCGCGAGGGAGGGAGGGAGGGAGGGAGGAAATGCGGAGAAAATGTTTGGGTAATTTTAGATTTCCTAGGAAAATTACTTTTTTATTAATAAAAAAGGAAAAATTCCAATTAATAACCCAAGTGGGGTCAAATTCTCAAATAAGGATCCAAAGTGAATATTGTGTCAAATAAAGATCTGAAGTGTACAATCAGTCTCAAATAAGGACCCGAAATGCCCAAAAAGTCTTAAATAAGGACCTGGGTCCCCACGTAGCCAAAAATACCCGCAGGGCCGTGAGGATAGCTATTCGTTCCTAAGACCTAACAAGAACTTTTTCATTTTTTATTACTTTTTCTGTTTTTTCGTTTCCTTTTCCTTTTCTTTTTCTTCTCTTCCTCCGCTGGCCATACGGGCGCGTGAGGTCGCCGGCCTCGCGCGAGGCCGCCCTCACCGGCTCGGAGTCGGGCGAGCCTCGCCCTCGGGCTGGGCGAGGCCGGCCCCACGCCGCGAGGGCGACCTGCCGACGCCGGCGGGGCCGAGCCTCGCCAGATCCGGCGAGGCTCGGCCTCGCCCAGCCGGCGAGGCGACCTCGCCCGACGCCGGCGGGCCGAGGCCTCGCCCGAGATCCGGGCGAGGCTCGACCTCGCCGCCCGGCGAGGCTTGACCGCCTCGCACACCGAAGCGGCGGCCGAGGCCTCGCCCGACGCCGGCGAGGCGACCTCGCCTACGCCGGCGGGCGAGGCGACTCGCCCCGACGCCGGCGGGCGAGCCGGCTAGCCGATCCGGGCGAGGCGAGCCTCGCCCGGCCCAGGCGAGGGCGGCCCTCGCCCGACGCCGGCGAGGGCGGCCCGCCCCCAGGCCGGCGAGGGCGACCTCGCCCAAACCAGGTGAGGGCGGCCTCGCCTGAGGCTGGCGACCTCCGCCGGCCCCGGCTATGGCCGGCGGAGGAAGAGAAAGAAAAAAAAAAAAAAAGAAAAGGAAAAGGAAAAAACAGAAAAAAATGAAAAGTACTGTTCCGGTGTCGGAACAGTAACTTTCTCGCCGCCGGCCGGGGACCCAGGTCCTTATTTGAGACTTTTTGAGCACTTCGGGTCCTTATTTGAGACTGATTGGGCACTTCAGACCCTTATTTGACACAATGTTCACTTTGGGTCCTTATTTGAGAATTTGACTCCACTTGGAGTCCTTAATTGAAATTTTCTCAATAAAAAATAATGTATCTTCTGGCTATTTTTCCAAAATAAAATATACATTAACCATCGTTCATTACATCACTCACCAGCTTGATTCCAATAACTACTGTATTATTTTAGGTGTAATTTATTGGTCGATGAATACAGGAAGCGTGAAAAGTTTTGTACCGTGATCACTTTGATGCCAAAATTTTTTTCGAATAACTTAAGTGTCAATTCTCATTTGGGTCACCAGAAATCGAACTTAGCAATTTTTTGTCAATTTTTCGCTGGCATGGCCAATCAACATTGATAATTCCAAACGATGTGGTTTATGTGTTTATCCCAAATATAAACCCTAATTTGGTCCTAATTTCGCCGGTCCTTTTGCATTGGGGGTGGGAACGGCTCTATGGTGGCATCCGTCGATCGTTTTTTTGGACTGACAATGGCCTCGCTAGCGACCAACGAGGGTGGTGAACAGCATGTGGCGTCGGTCTATGGCCAACCTGAGATATTGGCGACTCGTGTGGGTTGATAGTGGTTGCCCATGCCTCTACTCATGCTCGGTTGGGTGATGCCTTCGGGAGAACGGCCGAGGCGGCATGGTGATCGATGGTAGCCGTGTGTGAGAGCGACAGAGATAGCGAGCAATGGCGACAAGGAGAGTGGTGCGACGGTCTGCCTGCTTTTGAAGACGACTGAGCCCTATAACCTTCCTTGTGTGCGACCTCATTTTTGCTTGGTTGGATTAAGTGACTTCTTTTATGCAACCATGTCAGATTAAGCAACGTCGTTTTGCACATCCGTGTGAACTGAATTTTTTTTTAAAAAAATGCCAACTCATTTGAATATTTTAATTATAAATGCCATGTAATACTTTTGGCTGGAAATTCTCGCTGAAAGCACTTAAGTGATCGTTTTTTTTTTCGATTTTGGCACTTAAGTGAGCCGGCGAAAACTCTTATTATTAAAATGAGCACCGTACGAAATTTTTGGCACTTCTAATATCAATTAGCCTCATTTATTTGTAGTAATTTGTATTAAGCTTGCAATTCCTAGCATAACAAAAGTAAGTGACAATTCTTAACATGGAATGAATTGTATTACTAAAATACTCAGTACTTTTATGTCTCGTACGCAAGGGATTTTTAGTAAAGCTTTTGCCATCCATACATGCAGAAAAAGACTAGTTCCTTTGGAGTTAACCAAGTTATACACGTACAAAACCCATACCGTATTGTGTAAGGCAATAATATTTTAGTTTTATTTAGTCAGTTCATGACGTAAAGTCATAGATGGAGAGCTCTACACAATCGACTGCTACTCATTTGGGCCTCCTAAGAGAAGCACGGCTGCTGTCAAACAACGGAGAGCCAACTCTATAGATTACAAAGCCAAATGGGCAAATCTCAGGCACACAGCAGCTCAATATCTCGCTCCCATAAGACACTGATTTCTTCTCCTTTAACATGTAGAGCATCATAAAATATGCTATCCACAACCCATTCCAGGCAAGTTTCAGCAGTAATTTCCTGCGAGCATTACCTTTTAGTATCTGCACTAACCAAGCAAATTCTTTCATCCTGGCCTCTGATGTTTCTGTTATAGCCCTGCAGATTCAGCAGATGGCTCCATACGCGCTTTGGAAATCAACACCAACGAATAAGTTGTTATGTGGATTTTTCAAGGTCATCTTCACCAGTAGCCCTTCTCTTGACTCTGTCAAAAGTCTGCAGCTTTGCCCAATATAGCCAACCAAGTGATGGATCCAAATTTAGGCACGTTGGGTCTAAACCAAACTAGCTTAAGCTATAAAACTATGGTCTCCCTATTTCTAACTGACTTCCAAGCTTCTTTGAGAGCGGATCTGTCATTTGTAGAGCTAGTAAAGGTCACCTGGTCACTTTCAACAGTGTGAATGCAAACAGACAGGTTGACCTAACAAGTGGCCAGAACCGATTTTTGACTTGAATCACAGAAGCAACCTTAATGTGAGAGCATCAAGGGCAGCACCATACCTAATCCTTCTAGAGTATGCTTCTGGAGGAGCCCATGATCATGCCAGTTGTCTTTGCTCATTGGCTGATAATGGGCCTAGCCTTAAGCATGTTACTCTTCGTTTTTCTGCTATCCATGTGGGAGACATATTGCCGGTGCTAGTTGTACTGCTGGACTTCTTAGCAGCGGATGCTTCCCATGTATCAATACGATGCGAGTTTTAAAATTTATCATCATGTTCTTAATCATCGTATTTGTTTATATCAGGCAAATGATCTTGGCAGCACATGCTTCCCATGTATCAATACTAACTTTGATTTTGGTTTTATGTTCTCAAGCATTCGATCAAGGGCAATTCACTCAGAATTTTCAGATTGGAGCACCCGAAATCTGGTGTTGCCAAGTTTCAATGTTGTTCCACGAATCTGTAATTAGACTCGCTCATCCGCCTCGAAATTAGAGACCTTTCAAGTTCAGCAACAAAATTCACTAAAATCTCTTATGAGGGCAATTTACAATATAAAGCTCTTTTGCTCCTTTTCTTTCTGCCAAGTTTACATTCAAGAGCTAATGACTGAGAAGGTCTCAATAAGAGCAAAACTAAGTGCAAGCAGTAGGATTCGCCAATAAGTAAGCCTCAACAGCCCTGTACAACTCCATAGCTCTGTCCTTGCCGGCCTCTATATCCTCATCTCTTAACTCGATGTCTCGGTCCAAACAATAGTCACTCGACATCCTACAGATGGACCCGCCATTGCCATCATCGACGAACTCGATCTCGTACACCACAGACTTCAGGCCGTCGCTGAGTATGTCCCCTTCGATCAGAGTATACTTGCACCGGAAGTTGACTGCGTCCATCTCATCGATGCGATGCTTCGCATATTTAAGCAAGCTTTCTGGACAACAAACAAGAGGCGGGAACCCCCTTTTTATTCCAAACAAGAACAACACGGGAATTGGCGAAAGAGCGAAGATAAATTAATGGGAGAAGAAAAATTTGGAGGCAAACCTTGAGCAAAGTTGGTTTGCCTGACACTGCCAACACCTCCATCACCATTAACCAGGTCAATGCTCTTGATGTACTGAGGCATGAGCTTAGGGAACAGTACGTGTGAATCAAGCATCAAGGCTTTGAAGAGGCGGTCCGAAGCAATTGGTGATTCGAGCTCTTGCGCAAAAGTGACCACACCCATCTTCTCAAACTTGTACCAGAGAGAGAGAGAGAGAGAGAGAGTGAGGGAGGGATGAAGAGGAATGGTCAGGTGAAGGACTTATCGGACCACGCTTTGAGGAGTAAGATCAGGAGCTTTTGTTTGGATTTGCGTTGAGCTGGCCCCAACCAGTTTTGCAGAGTGAATGACTATTTAAAAGACTAATCCAAGCTAGACTATCGTCCCTTGATGTAACTGCCCAGGGAGGCTACATCACTATTCTGGCCGCCTTCCTTTTTTTCTACGAACACGACCTATTTTTCCTTTGTTGTCGGCTGATAATTATATATTCTGGATTCCTCCGCGTGAGCTGTTCCATAATTATTTTTTTTTTGTCAGTCCTACTCTAACTCTCATTTCACTTTCAGACTTTTGCCCTGCCTCTTACTGGGCGGGAAAGTCAAAACCCATTTGAAACTACACGTTCCCATCCCTAACCCTTCCCAAGAATGTAGGGATTCAAACTCCTCACCACCCCCTTCTCAAGTAGAAAAGATGACTACCGGAGCAAATCCTAGTACACAAAGCATAAATCCGTGATGAAAAGGGCAGTTTTACGCACCAATCACTTACGTAGACAGAGCATAAATCCGTGCTTCCCGTCCTTCTACTTTCACGCTTTTTTTATCAAGTCCATGTACTTTTAATTTATCCGAGCAACTTCTCCCACACTAAATTCAATCAAATACAGCTAATATGACCGTCAGACTAGTAACCATGGGGATGATTTGGTTTGGGAGCGATTGGAATAAAATTTTTTGAGAAAATATGGAGATGAAAGGTGGAATCTTTCTACTCATATTGTGCTCTCAATTGCATGCCAAGTATGGAATTGACTATCAGGGAAAAGCACAAGACATACAATCATGATCTCTTTTGATCGAGGGTTTACATATAGCTCTGTGTCCAAACAAGCATATCTTTCTATGCGTACATACAAAACGACCGGCCATTACGTGTGGGGAATTCTGGGATAACGACAAGGGGGCATTTGTTCTAGATAGCAAGAGGAGTCAAAGTCAACACATTTTGAGGAACACCAATCCCCTTAAGTTGTCCTGTCTTTCCTCACCACATTGTCTTCTTGCCCAAGCACCCGGTCAACGTTCACGTGCTTGACGGCTTGAATTGGCATAGATATTTTCGTTTTAAGTAATGGATAGAACTTCCAGAGTGTAGCGCTTTATTTAATTGCTAACCGCTTAGTTCTAAAAAATAAGAGGACAAGGAACTGTAACTTTCACAACCTGACCACCAATTGGCAGAAATCAACAGAAGGAAATGGCCTGGCAATCCCATTTCGTATTAGTGCCAAAAGTTTTGGTTCAAGAATAAACACATGCAAGCAACTGGCACGGTTGCTGTATTATACTATAAGATGAGCATTTTACATCGAAAACCGAGGAAAAAGAAAAAAAGGAAAGGCATGCTGAATACATTCTTTTCGACATCAATCTCTCTCCATCTCCCTCCATGTTCGAAGAAATAAAACAATTTAGATAAGAAACGACGTGGTTACAAAGAATTTACTTTCTATTGCCGGTCTTCCGCTTCCCATCGATGGCAGGTTGCTGCTTTCCATTCTGATGTAGAGGAAGACCGACCCCATTTGATGGCTTCCGAGATGGCGAAGGGCCCACACTAGAACTTAAGTTCCTGCTGGACCAGCCGAGGAAAATTCTTTTAGATGGAAGTAGCTCATTGGCTAATGAGTTTAACGCAACAAATTTCCAGTGAATTAATCAAAATGAAGACATCATGTACTTTTTTGCTTTGAATCTGTGCATTCAACCTATACTTCGAATTACTTGTTGCCATATCAGACCAACTCTCCTGGCTGCAGGCCTATACAGAAGTACTATTTTGTGGACTACTTTGGGCTAAGATTCATGTTTTGTGTACCACACATACTGAGTACCGCACATATATTTCGAAAATGTGTTCCTATATTATTTAGCAAAGACAGACAACACATAACAATACATTGACTGTTACTATATTATGCAAGCAAAGAAAGCACACTAAATTGACCGTACCTGATGTCTGGGTTCTTCCGGGGTTTGGAAGTGGATCTATTAGTCTTCGATGCAATCCCATTAGTGATGCCATTCAATTTGGCGTGATTGAATTGCCAGAGCAAATCTGGTTCTGAAGAATCACTGGTGGCAGCATCGAGCTCATCCACATCATCTGTATTTGTGTGATCAAAACCATTACTACCCATGAACATGTTGTAAGTTTGCTCCGGGAAAGTTTTGGAGCCATCCTGGAGATATTTCTGGTAGAACCCATCAGTCAGGTGCCCATTGTTTGTAGTCCAACACCCTAGGGTGTTCTCAACTTGGCTACCGTCTTCCTTGTTCACCATGACTTTGTCTACCCACTCCCCTGAGCCCACTTCTTTTTCATCATCCCTGTAACTTTGGACTGGAACCGGAGGCCAAGGAGGGGAATTAGCTAAAAGTTCGTCCAGGTCAAAGCTCGGTCTCTTGTGCTTCAATGCAGAGTTTGTGAACACCTGGCAAGACCCAAATGTTGGTCTCAGCTCCTGGCTTACAGAAAGCATTCACATACACATACACAATCACATACACATACACAGGAGGCTATTGGTGTTCCATACGAAAGTGCGGGTGTTGTTGAAGACTCGATTTTGATAATAAACCTCTAACTGGCTCCGATGTTCATAGTTTGAAGAAACTAGTGGCGATGTTTGAAAGCTGGGCAGATTTGGGACTACAATATAAGTTTGTTGTTTTTTTAGGCAAAAAAGGTTCGGGGCAGGATTGGCATTGGACCTAAAGTTGGTGTTTTTTTAGGGAATTAAGCCTAATTTTTATTAAAATGATTACTACTACTGAAAGTTTATTGAGACAAGATAATTCATGCTTCCCATCCAACAATGATAAGGGAAACAGGTTTACCTCAATATTCCCAACATCACCCATTGGTCTTCGGCAGCTATTTTGATCCCTCATTGCATCTGCATGCTGTGGATTAGAATGAAATGGTGATAATTCTGCTGCTTTCCTTCTCTGTCGTTCCGAGCTTCCAGAAACAGGGTGTGGCATGTGCTTTGGTTCTTCCTCCTTCCTAGCTAATGCTGCCTTGAGACTGGCTATCTGTTGAATGGTTGTAGTCTATTACCACACTGAAAGTCCAAAGACATAATGTGAAAAGTGATGACTGGACGAGGATTAAATATTTCAACCTGTTCCTTGAGGTCTTTCACATCTGCACCATCTTTGTTTACTCGGGCAGCACCTAGTTCTACTGTAGCAACTCGCTCAGCAAACTTAAGTGTGCTTATTGTTTCTCCTAAAGCATCAGGCTCAGGGCTTATGTGAACAAACATTAACGTCTTTGCCTGCCCTCCTGAAGAAAGAATATTCCTCCATCAAACTTGACTAGAACTTATTCAATTTAGATTTGAGGACCATAAAGTATAAAGTACATGATTACTTTCAGATGCATGACTTTTTATTCAAGCTCCATTATATATGAAGAACGGTGAGGGGAAAAAACTGTTAGCTCTAGTTTACCAAGTGAGTCTTGAAGCAGCTGGGTGAGCTTGCTATTCCTGTAAGGGACATGAGGGTTTTTCTGGGCAAGAGAAGAAATCACATCTCCAAGGGCTGAAAGGGACTTGTTAATGTGTTGTGCCTCTTTTAGCCGTTCTCCTGTCACTTCAGATTTGTCTACTCTCTCACTTCCTGCCAAATCAACCAGATGCATACATCCACGAAGAATGGTTCCAGAAGTCAAATCTCGTCCTTGAACATGTACAGTCAAGCAACTGCAAATTAAAAGAAGAAATTTTCAGTCTTATGGGAAGCCCTAAGATATGCATTAGTGAATCAGATCTCACCTATGAGAACGACTACTCCGATCATTCAGGGCTGTAGCTCCCACCACACGATTTCTATGCCCAAGGTTCATGAGATCAATAACATCAAATGTTGATGAAACAGGGACAAGGCTTGCGTCCGGTACACTGAGTCCAGTTTGGGAACTATTTCGAATCTCTAATGTTTTCATAGCTAAGGAGAACTTGGTAGCAATCTGCTTAGAGAGATGCTATATTGAAAGCGTACATTGCCTGACAATATTAGACCATAATATAGTTTCAAAAGGCTTCAATAAAATGGATATATCAGGTTTACGAAGCAAGTCTAATTAGCTTTTAAGCTTTATATCACTGATTAGAATTTAGAACCGTCGGACCTGATGACAAAATTTAAAGCCTTCTATGAAGCACAACAAATTTTTTTTCAAGGATATCTCCTATTTGTTCCATCGGAGACAAGAAGGTCCCGCACTTGCTCATTATAGATCTCGATCATTTGGACAGAAACATCGTAGAGGAATGTATCCTTTCTTTGTTCTGCAAGGAAAAACAAGTCACCCAAGGCCCTATAATTTACACCTTGATTTTGCTCCGTAAGCTGTTTAGGACCCGTCTGAAAAGGGAAAAAAGAGAAGCAAAAGTCACAAAGTTAGTGGATGTTACAAACAGACAGCAGTAAGGTAGATTTACAAAGAGCCATAAAACATAGTGGATTTTACAACTTCTTACCATGGTGTAGGTCTTTCCAGATCCAGTCTGGCCATATGCAAATATACATACATTGTATCCATCAAGAACTGACCGGATCAATGGCTGGGTATCAGAAAATACTTCCGCTGGAGAAGTTGAAACAAGGTCAGTCTGGCATATATGCCATATACATACAAAATGCAAAAAAAAAATAAAAAAATATGATCTTTTACCACCTTGGGTTGCTGATGGCCCAAAGACTTTGTTGAAGTTGAATGATCTACGCCCTTTTCCATGTTTAGATGGGGTGGTGATGCTGATAATCCCGTCCTCAATATTCTCAACAGAGCTCATATAATTTGATTGTCCGGGCAAGAAGGGTCTCACTCTGCAATAGACTCTGATATTCCCTAGTAACACAAACAATAAACCAATCACTGTATGATTCATTAAATATCTTAGGGAATAACAAGGATAAGCTTAATAGGTGGGGCATCTGGAAATCTTACCTTTGAGATCCATCACTTGGTTGTAAAGCTTGCGGTTTTCCTCAAGAACTTTATGATATCCAGATGCAGCATTGGCAAGGCCGTATATATGTAAACCTATCGAGAAAGCTCAATATGTGAAAACAGACAAATTATCCTGTCTGGAAGGATTTTTACAAGTGTGAAATGCTGATATCCTTAAGCGCAAAATGCTGATAGGGGACTGGCAAGATAAGGAACAGAGACTGTACTAAGGCTGCTGAACTCTTCTTGGACTTTCATCTGCATGAACTGCATGCCAGCTTTCGTTGTACAGAGGGTTTGCTTTAACTCCTAAAATCGTAGAGACAGAAGTAAGTTGACATAATGAAAAACAATTAATTGAGCAGTTGGAATGCATTTAAATACCAAAACTCAAACCTGAACATCTTTTTGTTGTTGATAAAAAATCTGTTGCTGTTTTAACATCAGACCTTTTGATTCCTCATTGGTTGTACCGCTTTTACCAAGATAATCTTCTTTACTACTTGACTTCATGTTCTTGTCTTCAGGCTAAGATATTAGAGAAATATAATAAAAACTTCAGTGCACAAACACTTTCCATAATGCATATAGAATAATTCAAGGAATGAGATTCTCGTTTGCTGAAACTTGCTCACGCGAGCCTTCAGCAATCTGTTTCAAGTTATGAGAAAGCGATAACCTTTTCACTAGTAGTAGATTTCACCAGAGTCTTGTTTCCCTTCTGCAGGAAAATCAGAAAAGCAATATAATTATAAGAGGAACCTTAGTCAGAGTATTAAAAAAAATACATAGCTGCTCAACAAGAACTTTCCACTGGATGCTTTAGCTCCAATGAAAGAAAAATAAGTTTATCAACACTCTAAACTCTAACTAAAACTGAAAATCACTTCATTATATTAAGAAAGTGAGTATGTGGTGAAATTCTTGTTTAAGAATCAAGATCGGCTAAACTTATGAACATCAAAATGACATACCAGCTCAAATTGGTTAGTGATACGGTGTTCAAACTCCTCGACCACCTTACTTAGGACAGATTCCACCAACTGCCATCAGAGAGAAGATCAAAAGAAAGTTCCAGTCAAGTCACTTATCAAAATAGATAACTGTAGAAACTAATGACACAAAGCGACACAAATGCATATATAGACCCATCATGAAGCAGACTCTGTGTTCCACATTTTCTAAAAGGAACTAGGTCAGTTTAGAACTATCTACTGCTTGCGGCTTGCAGTCATCTACCAATTCTGTAGCAGGAGATTGCAACAGATTGAAGAGTCAACTCTGTAGAGCTTCATCTAGTAGGGGTAGCAGAAGTGGGAGTCACTACTGGTATCATTTAAGAAGGTGAAGTCAGTACTACAGTTGTCAGTGTAACCTTGTAATTCACTTGCATTTTTGGAGCCTCAGACAGCGTTCCGATTAACATAGTAGCACTACCACTAGCTTTCATGACATCAAGATAAAATGAATATAGTGTAGATGCACAAAAAAAAAAAAAAAGGATTTCATGGAAAAGGTGGCAAGGGGTATCATCCATGTAATGGTAACTCGAGAAGTTATAAACCTGCACTACCATACCCAAGTAAAGAGTGTTCCATCATGCAAACATGTCAAGGAGAATAATACTTGTATGCACATAGCGAATTGGAGACCACTCTACATATTTTATAAAAAAATAACACCATTGAGAGCAGAATTTTACCGCCGGAATTTCTTCAGGCTTTTTATCCAGAAGAACTGCGCGAACAAGCATGCTCAATGCACCCGAGTTGGCCTAAATAAAGGAGAGAGTTTTAAGTTTTTGTCATCTGTGAACCTGAAGGAAATGACTTAAATTTAGAAGAGATAAGCTTACCAACCATTTTATTCGAGTCAATACCAGAAGTTAGAGCATTCAAAGATTTCTCGTTCATTGAAGAATTTCTTGACAAAGAATTTGAGAATGGTTCTGAATTTTTCCTAACAAATGATTTACATGAAATTGCGGGCTTTACATTGCCACCAAATTTCCATACTCCGTTTCCGCCAGTTTGTTTCCAATCAGCAAATGACTTTAGTGCCAAAACACAATTCACAATCCTTGAAGTCTTTCCTCCCTGCAAAGATTAAAGTTGAAACGAAAATTTTTATCCTTAACTTATGGAGCTTAGCCTTCCGCCCTCCTTGCGTGACCCACACGGTGATATAGATAGTCCCAAAACATATATCCAAAAACAAACGTACCTGTTCGAGGTCTGATGCTTCAAAAGTGGGAAGGCCCATCTCCTGCACAGCTACAAGGAAGTTCCTGACATTTTCAAAATACTGAAATGCTGACAAAGCAGCTCCATCAGGGATCAGAGCAGCATCACTTGGACTTTCTACAACCTATGGATCAGCATTTAGATGTTAATGTCAGTTTAAAATAAAGCATTATTATAAGCTTTTTCTCTTCTCTAAAGACGAAGTAAAAATTCATTCAAGGCATTTTTTGTCGGCATTTATCATGGAAGCTTAATTTTCTATTCAGTTTGCCTGGCATGAACCGTTCCAAGGGAATTATGGCAAAAAAAGATCTATTCTGAAGGAATTAGAGAATACAGAACAGACCTTTGGTACCGCCCCAGATTGTATCTTGTTGAGAACATTGCAAAGGATAATACCACTTCTCAACCCGAGCCTAAACTCTTCTTCGGATGGCTCGGCAGGTAAGTCTTTGGCTGCAACCACCCCGACCATCTTCCTCAGCCAACCAGCTGCATCATTCCTTCTTGATGCTACGAATGACAAGTAATCAGGATCTCAAACTAAGCTCTCCAACAAGAGTGACTTTCAAGCCAAAGTGAACAGAGACTGAGAGAGAGTTCCAAAATCCAGTTCCATTAGGCCATGATTGATCCGCAAATTCAGGTGATCGCACAAACAGGAGATTGCGGCTTAGGAATTCTATCATATCGCGAGAAAAATGGCAATTGCCGTACCGAATACGTGGAACGACAAGGAAGTGGGACATCGACACAGAAAGGGTAGTAAATTGAAATTCACTTGCAAGAAAGAGCGGATATTGAGGATCAAGTGCAGGATCCGAGAAACGAGAAGATAGACATCTGATCGTCATAGTGAGAAACCACCCAATGTTTCAAGGCATAAACTTTCGTTATCATCATCATCATCATCATCCACGAAACAAGATTGCAACGTTTCCAAATTCTTCCTTTCAGCAACTGAATTCACAGTCCGAAAGTTTCATCCAGAGCCAGAAACCTCGTAAGGAAATCAAAGGAGGAGTCCAAACAGAGAATTCGAAACACCAAATCACCAGAGCCACACACACACACACACACACAAGCGCCGAAGCCGACTAGCCAAAAGCACAGGGGGAGGGGGGCGACGAATCACATACCAGCTTCCTCAGCTCTTCTGGACTCCACGTTGACGTCCCTGAGCCGCGTGCCGTGCTGCTGCAGGAGCACGTCCTCCACCACCGAGGCCGCCGAGAACGACAGCGCGCCCCCCTCCGCCGCCGCCGCCGCCGCCATGTTTCCGCACGCTGAACACGGCAAAGAGACTGAGCCCGGCAAAGGAAAGGCGAGCAGACCGCGTCGCTTCCGGAAACCGCGAAGGAAGCTCTCACGCCACCATCGTCGGGCGGAATTCGACGCGAAGGAGACGGTCTCGGCAAGCAGAAGAGACGGAAGAGGATCTAGAGAGAGAGGAGATGAAGAAGGAGAAGAAGGAGATGGAGATGGAGGAGTGAGAGAGAGAGAGAGAGGGAGAGAGTGGTTGCTTTGCTAGGAATACAGGGAGTCACATTCTTCCTCCATTTCAGCTTTTCTACTGCCCACCCTTTTTCGCTGTTGCGTCTTCTCTCTCTCTCTCCTTTATACACACCAGGTGTCTCTCTCTCTCCCTCACTCCTTACCGGAGCTGATTGCCCCCGGGCCTGACTCCGAACCTCCCCCGCCCCCGAACCTCCCCTTCGCTTCAGGTGTCTCTCTCTCTCTCTCTTTACCAAAGTAGATTCCGCACCACCACGCGCGGGGCGCGGGGTCGGTCCATTTTTCTCTCTCTCTCTCTCTCTTTTTTTTACCATCACCGGCGTTTTCTCTCCTTTAATATATTATTTGCTGGATTTTTTTTTTCTTTTTCGAAAAAGAATGCTTGAATCATATTGGGAAACTTCGATTTGAAGATAAATGAAGCCAAAGGAATGGAATTTTTTAGCATGGAGCCGAACCAGGCCGAAGGAAGAGAAATCGTAACTGCGATTGATTATGATATCTCGCTTTAACCACGACAAGTACATTTGGAGATCATGTATATAATTCGTGCTCATGATCGTCTTCCTTACATTTCTGGGCCACTATAGGTAATTTAGTTATCGTTTGCACCATTTGGTTTTTTAGCTCTTTTTTTATTGTGCAACGTAATTCTCTGACTTTTGCAATTTATGTAGTCAAAAGCCGCTTCTGTCCCTGGTCCGATCAAATCCTTAACGTGGCGCGGCATCCCTTATCCTTATGTGGCAAAATTTGGAGATGTGGTGTCACTAATGAAAATATATATAAGAGAAATGTATAGAGAGAGAGCGAGCGGAAGCTTGGCACAATAGCCCAACTTGCCCATACACTGATGAGGGTTTAACAACTCCCGCCGGGTAAAAAGGGATTTTGAGAATCGTTGGACCCTCACGATAGAGGGAGGGCAAGGGGCATTACCATTTCCATGACCATAGTGAGGGTTGCGTCGCCATTGACAATGGCAGGCGAGGCTCCCCATTTGCACTGGCAAAGGTCGAGGTCACCCCGCTCTCGGCAAGGGCCAAGCCACCTTCACATACAACAAAGATCCCCCTCTCTCTCTCTCTCGATCTCTCTCTCTCGGCCTTGAATTGGTTGAGAGTCCAACTACACTTGCCCGATCAAAGTTAGAGTGCCAAACCCTTGCTTGAACACAAAATAACAGTTAGAGAACCAAGTTCCACAATACAATATGTAGAAAACTGTCGATAATTGGAGATCCTATATCGACTAGCCTTAGGCTTCGGGATGGACTTGGGGGTTGGACAGGAACAGGGATCATATTCCTCCTCCTCGCCCCGTAAGGTAAAGCTTAGCCTCGCCACCTCCCCATGCCCCACGCGGGGCTGGGCGGGGCAAGTAGTGGTGTAGCTAGAAATTTTTTTCACTAAGGTCAAGTAAATAAAGGTAAAATATCTATACAAAGTAAACACGCCGTCGTAAAAAATATAACAAAAAATAGCCATACTGATGTTCTATTGAGAAACTTAATCCGAATCCAACAAAACATGTTTAGTTAATCAAAACTAGGATTTCCTTGACGCTACTATACCTTGTTAAGTACCAGCAATTGTCAAATTGCGTTATATATCTGTCGTTTGAGTTCAAAAGACTAAAATCTGAGCTATTCCCTCTCATAGAGTTCAAAAAGTTCAAACTTTGGGTTATGAATGATAATCTTTGAAGTTTGGTGGTTTTGTCCCTTTCTCCTTGTGCGCTTGCACATGATGACTTCAGAGTGGGTTATTGGTGAAGTGAACATTGAATTGAGTTTTTCTTTTCCTTCTATTTTTTTTTTGCAAAAACTAATTCCTTGTAAGGACCTCCTCCTCCCTAGCATATTACACCATCTTCTTAGTCACTTGTCTTTAGGAATTTCTTTCTTAGCCAAGCTCATACCAAAGATGAAACACATTTCACCTACAATGGATCGTGGAGAAAGGGGTGATCTAGAGATCATTAACCTGAGAAAGAAACGACCAAAACATCTCAAATAATAATTTCAAGGATTTCAAAATTTACGAAACCATTCATCTACGCAACGATGAAGCATAAAGTTACTCCCGTTATATGAAGAATATAGTTCTAACAAAGGAGGTAATCACACGCCGTTCCTATCCGTCTCACTGTATGCATGCATTAAATATGTTAGTCACGGATATAATATACAATCTAGGCATGTTGTGTATACCAAGACAGTCTCCTCACGCCTTGGCATATACCCAAAATAGGAAAAATTGTCTAAAAAATCCTAAACCTAGTGTACTTTTGTCAATTCAGTCCTAAACTTTTAAGTTTGCCAATTCAGTCCTAAACCTTTTCATTTCTTGCCAATTCAATCCTAAACCTTTTCATTTCTTGCCAATTGAGTCCATCCGTCCAATTTTGGCCGGCCGGCCGTCCGGCCAACGCTAAAGTGGTAATTTTTAAATATTTTTTTCGAATTTTTTAATATTTTTTTTTCTGCCCTTCTTCCTTTTGACCAGTCAGGCGACCGGCTAGACGCGCGGGCCGACGAGGTCCTTGCTGGCCTCTAGCACAGCTTGCCCCCACCGGCCGCTGCCAAGCTGACCTTGCCCAGCCATGGCGAGGCTGACCTGCAACGGCGCTGATCGGCCTCGCCGTCGCTGGGCGAGGTGGTGAAACCCAGCAAGGTCGACCTCGCCGTCACTGGGCGAGGTCGGCCTGGCAGCGGCAGGCGAGGCTCACCCTCGCTAGTGGCCTGCAGGGGCAAGCTTCGCCAGACTGGACCGGCCAAAGAGAAGAAGGGCAGAAAAAAAAAGAAAAAATATATTACAAAATTTGAAAAAAATATTTAAAAATTGCCACGTTAGCGTCGGCCGGCTAAAATTGGCCGGATGGACTCAATTGGTAAGAAATGAAATGGTTTATGACTGAATTGGCAAACTTAAAAGGTTTAGGACTGAATTAACAAAAGTGCAATAGGTTTAATTAGACTTTTTGGATAATTTTCCCACCCAAAATACCAACATATAACTTAGAAGGGACACTACTTCATATTGCAGAATTGATCCGTCTTATTGGCAATAAATCTTTTGGGGATGAACTTTTACAGGAGAAACATCAAATGAGGGAGACAGCTCATCAACATGCGAACCTCTGATCATGCACCAGATGTCTAGACGGGCATTATCTCTTCATTAGACTTTAAAAAAGCCGAAGGCCTCTTCTCTACTGATGCATGTTTCAAAGGCAAGTAAGAGAGATCATGGAAATCTATAAGACAAACCATGTGAGGTACTCTTTTAGCAAGAGATGAGTGCAAAAGCAAGCAATCCCATGTTCCATATAATCGAATTATGCCGGCCACTATTCTTTTAACCCTAGTAGTTGCTTGAAAACTACCCACCAGGCGGTGGGCAGAGTGTTGTTTTCAGTCGGCCAAAGTGTTAATTAGTTGGAAAAACAGTTACCAAACCCAGGTTTTATAGGGTCCTTTTCATCATGGAATTGATTCCAAAATTTCTCGAGGCATGATTCGACTTCTAGTCTAAGGAACAAGGAGAGCGTGCAATCTCTCTAGTTTGTCTCTTTTTCTTTATATTAATGATATCCAAACTAGGATGTTGTGTTGGATCGAAGTCAAATTGCTCGTAAAGTTTCCAGAGGTGCTACTATTTTTTAAGACCATATTGTCTCTTCTAACGATAGTCCTATAAGCGAAGTGGACATCACACCTAAGAGCATCTAGATAGATTGTTCCTGGACATATAAACAAATGTAATTACTTTAGCTTACATTGGACTTGAAAACATCGAAATTTAAGGATGCAATCCATACTTTCCACAATTTCCCAATCAGTCCTCAATCGTTTCACGCAATTCCAATGTGGTCATTCTGGTAAATTTTCATTGGAAATTGATGATGTGATGATCCAGTCATCGCCGGTCATCCTACCCGACACATTTTCACCTCAACAATTTTCGGCAAAAATGGGTTGGAAAAACTATTAGAAATTCAAGCAAAGATTTAAGACTAAATCGCTTAAATTAAAAAGCTTATGACTGAATTGGTATCTGTATGATATGTTTAGGATCGAATGGCATTTTCTCCATTGATCCAAAGATGTAATTCAAAGATTACATCTGTGTACGATAGATAGCGCCGATAAATTCACCAAGCCGATAATAACTAGGCCTCACCTCGAACTTCTCTTCATTAATTGCATGCGGTATCCTAATTATATTCTATATATTCCTAATGATACAGTGAATTGCTTCGAGGCAAAGATGTACAAACACATGCAAGGAAACATCTACATTCTGACAATGCCATACGTTTCCAAGCTATAACAGGAAGAAATCATTCTTCCGAAACGAATTATCATCTTTCTCTCTTCGTAAAACTAGACGATCCGGGCGTTACCGGAGTTGGTAGAAATATGATTGCCATTAAAGAGATCGAACCTATTATAGCGAGATTGTCTTTAACGTACGATTAGCGTCTCGAAAGAAATTCAAATAGGTACAGGCCTTCGAGACATCGAATGTTACGTCACATTCCTTTCGCGTCCTTCTAGACATCAATAAGCACCGGAGAGCCGACATCAATATGGCCAATTCAGCCAACAGGGGCGACGTATCCCGAGCAACATCGAATGTAAAACCTTTCATAGACACGGAAGGGGAAAAGAAACAAAGAAAAGGAACTCAACCGGGCATGACACGATGATAGAAGTTTTGCCGGCACAATAGAACACTCATATGCTCCTTTGATTTTATTCTTAGACATTAGCCCATGTTTTAGCATATTTAATTAATGGGTCGTGATCAGAAATCTCCCATCAAACTTAGATGGGGATGGATTCCAAGGAAAGGACAAAATCCTCATGTCTATCTATCTTGAGATAGAGAGAGAGAGAGAAGAGAGAGAGAGAGTAGGTGAAAGGGTCGAGCTCAAGTCGATGGGGGGAAGAGATAAAGAAAAACTCAAAAAGGGGGGAGGGGGGGGGGGGGGGCATAACTGCCGACTGTTGGGGCCTCCAACGTTCGAAAAATTCAAATT